TATATAATAGTACGTCTAATACCTCAAACGAAAAGTCGCGACTCGATCGTACAATCTATTATATCCTTGTGGTTTTATGATTAAACACTTTTCCATGCCGGCGGCGGCAGCTGCAGCGTATATAAAAAAAAGAAGCGAGGAAGACGTTGCGGTTGTACTTTCGAACAAAACTTGCATTGAAAAAAAAAAAAAAAAAAAAAAAAAAAATGATCAAACGATAAGCAAATATATAACTTTTATATTTCCCGATGCACACCGAACGGTACAAACAACACGTATAATGAGCGTCTCTTGGCGTACTAATAAATGATTGTCATTGCAGGTACCCTAATATGATGCACCTATGTAATTTACACGCGATATAAATTAATATACGGTGTGTATATGTGCACCGAGTCACAAAAACACTGCGGTTAAAGTGCGCGTGTCACTTGCCATTCCACCTGTTAAAGGCCGGGCCTATGGGAAATTTTTGCAAGTACAATTTCCTGACTCTCTTCCTCGTTTTTTTTTTTCGTGCAATTTGAGCTCATACGTGTGCGTCTGGCGGAATTCTTCGCCTTGTGTACGGTACATCTCACTCGATTAACAAAAACAGTCGAGTGCACCAGATATTGACGAGGGTTGACGGTCCCTCACTTGCGGCCAATGCACCCTCCTGGCTGTTTCATTCACCAATTTACTTCCCTCAGTTTTTTTTTTTTTTTTCATTCCATGTCTGTCAAAAACACTGTCTCACTGTACACGCAGCAACACATATAGGAAGAGCAAAAAGCCAGACTACCAATAAAAAAAAAAAAAAAAAAAAAAAACCCTTACCTTCGAGTGCAATGTCAGTGGAAACAGATGTTGGCCCGAGACAGGACGACGAGTGTCCTTTTATACACGTATATACACCAGTGATCGCACGCATATATCAGGCACAGCCGAGATGGGACGAAAAATATGTTGTTGTTGTTTTTTAACAAGAGAGTCCAACTAAGCACAATAAGTAAGGTATAATGTGATCGGATGAGGGAGCCGCGGCTAATGTACAAAATCGCGCACTGCCGGTCCGAGCTCCGTACCTGCACTGCTCTCTCTTTCTTTTCCTCCATACATAATCTCTCTCTCTCTCTCTCTCTTGGCTCCGAGGCTATGTACCTATATAGGTAGGTATAGAACGGCCCGAGAAGGTCGACTCAAGGAATTCCTCGCTCCGCAGCCTCCCTCTTTTTCTCTGCATCCCATGTCCCTCCCTCCCTCCCTACCTCATACATACACACATATCTAGATGTAATATACACGCTCTACTCCAGGAAGTCGCGCGTGCCCGGTGTGTGTGTGTGTGTCCCTCTCGGCGCGCACCGAGCGCTAGGATATAATATTAGCTAGCTCATTCGCCGGGATGGAGAACGAGAGTAGAGAGGCCGGTCATTATACCTTACATACCTGTACACGTACACCCCATGCATACACATCTATGTATATGTATTCGCAGCAGCAGTATATATCCTTCTCTCTCTTTTACACTGATGTATATAGGATATAAGGTACATATATTATATATACACATACCTATATATAGTACAGCGAGGTCCTAGAGAGGAGGATCCGAGCGAGCGAGCGAGCGAGCGAGCGAGCGAGAAAGTGCCCGTGCGCGAAGAATCGAGAGATTATCGGCAAACGCCTCCTCCTCCTCATCATCTTCCTCTGCCTGCCCCTCTCCTTATATTATACTTACTCCTCGTCCTCATCTTCCCCATCCCCATATAAGTATACCTCATATGGGTTCATTTTGCACGAGCCCCTCATCTGCTGCTGGATGCTGTAGGTATACATATATACCATCACCTCGACATATCTCTATCTATATATAATATACCAACTAGGTATGAATATTACACGCGCACACCCGTAAAACAACTTGCCGATTGTCCCTTTTTTTTGCTCTTCTCGTGATTATATTGATGATCTCGGAATTTTTTTTTTTTTTTTTTTCATACATCTGTATGGATGATAATGCTCCACATAGAGGGAAAAATCGGCGCAAGCTCGAACGTCACGTACAATTTTTCGCACAATATTTTCCCGCACGCGGTGCATGCGTGTATAGGTATAGGTATATACATTATCGCGCAGTGCACCCGTGTGTGAGTACCCATACCAAAGAAGAGCCGACCTGGCACGGAGAGGATCTCTCCGGTGCAGGCCCTTCTCTCCTAGCCTATGTATATACCTGTTTGTCCGTTTTTTTTTTTTTTTTTTGCCGCAGCATCCTGCGGCCCCTCTTCCTTCCTTCCTTCCTCCATACCTACTCCTCGTCCAGCTCCTAATCTCGCGCGCTCCTCTCAAGAATGCAAAGTCGCCATACACGTATACAACCCTCGGGGTGCATATTGTGCAGTTGCATGTATGGCTACCCATGTGTTTATACGTATAAAACACACACGCTGCAGGTATATATGTATATATTTTCCGCCTCGCAGCGGGGGGGATGAGCGGCATCATCGGCTACCTGCACCGAGAGACTCGCTGCTTTTCTTTCCTCATTTCTTATATTATGTACACAGGTAATACCTATATACTATATATACACAGTGTCCTTTATCCTCGGCGGTGCAAGCGTATGTGGATCCAAACAGAAATCTCTGACCGATTCAGTATAGCGTATCTTTTTTTTTCTCCCCCAGAACATATTATACGTATCTGGCTTCGGATAGTCCCTGTACACAGATACATACTTTATAACAATTTATAATATATATTCGCGTGTAACAATTGTTTTAAGTACATTATATAATGTATAAACCTACTCTACAATACACGATATGTATAATCGTGCTGATGCGGACGACGACGTTTTTTTTGCAGACAGAGGTGTATCATGCCTCGCCTTGATTGCGATTCTATCGGTACTGGAAAATGCAGACATCAGTCGTGATACAGATTTTATTTCTCTCACAGATGGCTGACGGAAAAAATTGTAAGTACGTACACGTGTACCTGTGTATGTACATTTATAAATTCCGACAATCGTATACGCGCGCTTATAGCTGCAGATAGCATGGCCGCCGCGGAGAGAGAAAGAGAGAGAGAGCAATTATTGGCTCGATAATGAAGTGGTAACTAACACCTACCCTCGAGTAATATAAGTACTAATTAAACGTGTACAACTATATGTATTATTATGTACCGCTAACAGATTTTACGCAACGCCCCCTCCCGTACCCCGACTCTACACAATTTTATTCTGTTATTACCTGCATTGCGCGTGTTATGATATACATATATATACGGTATAAAATATATACGCATCTTCGCGTATGTAAAATAAAATTCACGGACTACTATAACGCGTGTATAATTTGTGCTTACAATAAAATTACCGAACAAAAGAATAAAACGATAATTCATCCATAGACCGCCTTCATCGATCAGCCTCTATAAACGCAGCCACGTCAACTATATATTATACGCTTGTTCCCAAGATACCCTATATGCTTAGCAATCGAGGCGATATTTAAAATGATGTACCTTCCTCTCGACGCGCGTCCGTAATTGTAATTCTCAATACAAGCCGATTGGCGGAGAGACGATGAAATAAAACAGCCGATTCTCGGAGAGACGATAAAATAAAACAACGGACGCATCCCCGCGGTACACAACAATCGAAATCGAGTCGAAAAATCAACCGATTTGTCTCGATCGAACGATAAGGATCGCGTTATAGCAATAATCAGCCCCCCGCCTGCCTCGTTCGTCCGATTAGATCGGTATACGTACGTATACATATATATACCCCAATAATCGGCGCTATTTCAAATTGCACGGCGCGCGCGTGTGGCTAAAGGAGGAGCGATTCAACTCTCTATAGGGGTAGCGAAACAGTGCGCGCGTGCGAGTAATATCGCGCAGAGAGAAAGAGAGAAACCGGTAGAGAGATCGGCGCCCGTGGCGCTCCTACAACTTATATATATATATATTACCTCCAGTGTATATATTATATGCGACGGCTCGGGGCATCAGGTATTACGTATATATAAATATAGAGAGGCCGCGCACTTATGTTTTAGATGAGTATACAGGTATACTCATGGAGATCGAGAGACTCTTGTATATTCATACGTAGGTATAACATATATATGTATAAATTTGCGCGTATGCATAGGCTGATGCGGAAAATCACATGGGAGTGTTGGGTGCCCGCTTGGAAATTATTGGCCTATTTCGATGGAGTGAATCATGGTTAAAGTACATGATGCCTAGAGCACGCGCGCCTCGCACAGTACGAGGATCGGGATTTATGCAGAAGGGAAAATTGTATAGGCTCCGTCTCGTATACATACATATGCTGTTATTACATTACCATTGTCATCATCATTATTACGGACACTCGCACGCATGACTATATTCAGAATAATGTACAAGGGGGAAAAAAAAGTAGGTATAGGTAAAAGCGTGATTATGCAATAGCGTCGATTATTATGTCCCTTGTATAAGTATATATTATGATTACATATATACCTATATACACACGCAGCGAGAGGGAGGAAAAGCTGCACGTGTATAGTATCATCATCATCATCATCGGTACAATATATTATGTATAGCGCATATGGCCCACCTCTGCCGATACCTCGGGCGTTCCGATTGTCTCGACTGAGTTACATTATCTCTGTTGTAAACTGCCGATCGGTATGTCAACTACACGTCTTTTTTGCCTTTATCGCTGGGATCGAGCGATTAAATTCTTGAAACAGCAGGGTCAAAGGGGCGTTTTTTTTTTTTTTTTTTTTTTTTTTTTTTTTTTTTTTTTTTTTTTTTTNGCAAAAAAAAAAAAAAAATTAAAAAAAAAAAATACAGTAAAATCAGAGATCACGTTTGTATGGGGTTTGTGTATCTCTCGTACCCCCTTGATCGAACATTTACACCATATATTTTTCACCCCCTACGGAGAGTTGTACACATTATATATATATACACGTATATAATAATAACCATATAATTATGTAACGCACCGGTGGTGGACTGGTATCTTTCGGACCACTCGCTGATGCCCTGAAAGTAACCGCTGGGCGAGCTCGATTCCCTCCCGTTGACCCTACTACCGTGTCGCTGGGTCTCGTGGTGTTGTTGCTGTGGCTGCTGTTTTCGTTGCGTCTCGTGTTGCTGATGGTAATTGTTACTACTACTACTGCTAATACTATTATTGTTATTGTTGTTGTTGTTATTATTATTGTTGTTGTTGTTGTTGTTGTTGTTGTTGTTGTTGTTAATATTCTTGTTGCTACTGGTGGTGGTGTTGTTGCGCGTTTGCCTGGTGTTGCCGTAAGTCTGGTGGGGCTCCCGAGGCCCGCACGAGGACTTCATCGTGACGTTGATGTAGCTGCTCGTGGTGGTCGTGCCGTTGTGCTTGGTCGTCGTGCTCGTGGTTGCCGCGAGGGGCTCGTCGTCGAGGGAACCGTGGGACGATCGCGACTCGCTCCCAAAGTGGCTCTCCAGCCACTTGGACGTCTCGAACTTGCGAGCCTCGTCCTCCTCTTCCAGATCGAGGGGCTTTCGCGTCAGGGCGTCCTTGCGCGACTGAGCTGCTGCCGCTGCCGCGGCTGCTGCCGTCGAGGGTGTCGTCGGGATCGCGTCCGAGCCGAAGCCTAGACCCGAGCGGTTATTTCGTGCTTTTTTTTTTTTTTTTTTTNTTTTTTTTTTTTTTTTTTTTTTTTTTTTTTTCTTCAGAAATCGTTAATTTAGAGCAGCAATCAGTGGTGATTTTATTTAAACCAAGGATTACATTAAATAATCAATTATACAGTGTAAAGATAAACGAATCAGGATTAAAGGAAAAAAAAAAAAATACCCAGAGTTCAATCTGTACATCAATTGCCGAAGATCCAAAGATAAACGAAATTGAAAATTAAAAAATTTTAGTGAATACGATTATTTGATTTTTAGGTGATTTTAACCAACGGCTCAAGTAAGTCGTATAGTGAAAGGATACACAATTATTTACATAACACATGTATACCTTTTTGGCCCTCGCTTTATTTACTGCATTGTTATAAATTATCTTACATTCCAGAGATTCCATGTACGCAATACGATACAAAAGAAAAATAGAGAGATCGCATTGAAATTCCAGAGGAAGATCGATCGTCATCTGTGGGCCACCATACACTTATCCGTACAATTGCACGCGTATAGATGAATCTCCACGATTTCCCGTTTTCTCGTTTCATCGGGATCTAATCGATTTACCACCACTGGTGGGGCATTCCTCACAAAACATGCACACGTTTGTTGCATGAACCAAGAAATTCTGACCCGAAAATTTTCTCTCCAAACCCGAGTTGTTTTTTTTTTTTTTCTTTTCAAGGTTGCCCGGATACATCGGATACAAAAATAACATATTAATTTAGATACACGAGGCGTACAATATTATCCCTGATATATAGTTCCGAAAAATTACACCCTTGAACGGCCAAGGGGGGGGGAACCAACCAGCGCGTGGATGTACATTGTACACACGGGGTTCTGAGAACGCGCTCATTACAGATTACGCAGAGGATGAGCAAGTGAATACCATCCGTCCTATCGACATATATGTACATGTACACCGCGTATATTATATGTATACCTGTTTCTCAATAGTCGGTGTTGCGTGCAAAAAAGGGGCCCGCGGAAGCGCTGGTCATTAATCACCTCTGCACTGGGCTCCCCTGCAAGTACACCACGCGCGGGTCTCCGGCCTATCATCATCAATAACCGCGAGCCGATAAATGAGGAAAACACCCGGATGCATGTACATAAATAAGGGGAGAAAAATTACGAGAACGCCAAATTGATAATTAATATATATGTATATATAAGCCGTAGCTGGCGGTAATTGTGCACATTGAGCTATTTTTTTCATTTTTCCGTTGGTCAGGCATTCAATGATGGATTGTTTTTTTATTATAGCTGTAGAGTGGTTGACACTATGGTCTCCCAAACAGTTGTCCAAAGGAACGTATCGTGTGCGCGCGAGCATGGGAACGGAATGCGCGCACCTGTGTATACATTATACTTTTATTACAAAAGGTATAAGCCACACACGTCTGTCCGTACGCGTCTGTTACTACTATTTCACTTTCGTATACATATAGATGTATATACATATATAATATACCGCGGGTGGATTGACCGCATTTTTCGTTCTGTTTCTCGGGGCTGTTTGTGAAATTGTTCATTGCCCGGTGTATAAGTTATATGTAGGTAAGGTATGTGTGTTATCTGATGGCGTCGAAGGAAACAACAGTTATATGCGTTTATACATCACGTGAGGCGCTCACCTCGTCCGATATGTCGCCGAGTTGTTGGCGATCCTCGGTCTCGAGCAGCTCCTCTATCTCCTCGCGGCTCTTGACGATCGTCTCGTTGAGCTCCTTCTGCACGAGAGACCCAGCCGCGGCGCCGGCCGACCAGTCGACCTTTTGCGGCTCGTCACCGGTCGTCCGTCTCTGCGTTGGTACAAACGAAACGTATGTGTATGTTTTTTTTTTTTTTTTTGTTTTTTTTTTTATACGCGGAGAGCAACTCGGAAAAGAAAAAAGACAAACCTCTTGGGTCGTGTGCTCCTGCTGCTCAACGTCCTCGGTGGTGTTGGTCGTAACCAGGGGTCCCGAGTCGACGACCACCTCGCCGTCCTCGAGCACCACTTGCCGCTTGACCCGCGTCTCGATCTGCCGCGTCGTCGTTATCTCTTTTTTCTTCCGCGTCTCCCATTCCTCTGCAATTTCATCGTGTATACATATATTTATATATATACGCGTATTGTCCGGCACGTTCATTATCACCAGACATCATGTGTAATGTATATATATATACGAGCTGCTGCTCGGAGAGATTTATAAGGAATATATATAAGTATGGATAAATATACGCACCTTCTTTCACCGTAGCCACGGCGTCGGCCGGATCGACCTGAAAAATCGTCAAGCTCTCAGAATCCACTTCAAAGATAAATTGTGTGTGTGTGTCGTGATTTATCATTATCGTTGCTATTTTCTTTCTTTTGTTTTTTTTTTTTTTTTTCTTTTCTTTTTTTTAAAAACTATATATACCGTATAAATATATGTACTCACTAGAATGGAAGCATGAGAATCGGCCTGAGGCCGAGCCTCGTATCGACGCGTCGAGATCACCTCCATCGGGGTGAGTAGCCTCGGCTGCGGTGTATTATATGTATATAATATGTGCCGCTCTTGAGTCACGCTATTCCGTAAAGATCCATCCTTCTTTCCTTTGCTTTGTTTTTTTGGTTTTTTTTGGCGTGTGTGTTACAAGCGCTTTAGCCTCGCTTCCCGACCTACAAGTCAGAAAAAGAACTTTTATTTTTTTTTTTTTCAAGAAAAACTGTTTCCCCCGATGTGTGCATAAATATGATACGTATATCGCCTCCTTTCCCCTCTCATTCGCGTACATATCTCAGACTCGGGATCACACCGCGCACAGCCGGCCACGTGTATCCCTTCCTTTCTCCGGTTTTTCGCGTGTGCACGTCAACCGAAATTCTTATGTACACGACCCCTATCTCTCTCTCTCTCTGTGCCGCGGTGGTGAGCTTTGCATATACCTTATACTTATGTATCACGTACATCGTACAATATACATAAGTATCGGCAGAGACGAAAAAATCCAAGGTAATTTTTCACTCTAAACCTTATTTTTATTCCACCACACCCGTACAACTCCAACTAGACGCGATCATTTCTAATTGTAATTACGTAGCAGCTCGAGTGCGTATCCGATATCCATAACGATTCAACGAGGGGGGAGCGCACGAAATCGTTATCTCCCGACGAGGCGCGTGCCTCGAAAAAGTATGTGTTCTCTCTCGCGCGCACCGAAATGCTTTTCACCCGTGCATCAGCGGTCGACTTTCCGAGAGTCACCGGAGCAGTGTAATAAGGTGCTCGTTGAACCATCGATGATCAGCAAGCAAACAACGCGAGAGACAATGTATAATATATCTCGAGCTCAGAGAGGCCGGGGTGTATATTGGCTATTGTCGGGAGTCAGTTTGGCACGACGATATATTGCTCTCTCTCTCTCTCTTGTTATCTTTTGCACGGCCGAGATTGTTTTGCTTGTCCGCGTTGGCACACTGTCTACCTGCAATACCGGGGTAGTCGCGAACCGGCCGTGTGCACAATAACCATACGCCCTGATTTGCAGAGGACAATTGTCAATTATTCCGCTCGCGACTGGTCTGTGTACTATACGGTCGGAAAGGTCGAGGGTATAAAAAAAAAAAACACAGCGAATATGGCACCTTGGCGTCCTCAGGAGTCCGCGGAGTTGGATTGAATTAATTTAGCCGAGCGAGTCACTCGCGTGTATTGTGTACGTATACGTGAAACGGAGCCAAGGCAGAGGTGCTCCGTTCCTTCCAAGAACGCAAAACAAAAAACACGGAGCGCGTGAGAAATGCACGAAAATGTGTATTGTCAGGGGCTATCGGGGAGGTTTCGAGCGACAAAGAGAAGGATGAAGCACCACACACGCGCTACGATTGTGCTTGTATGTATACACCGCCGTACAAAAACGCAAAAAGAAAAAAAATTAAGAAACGTGACTTGGTTGATCAAAAACTCCATTTTTGGCATACCTATATACATACTCCCTCACTCGTGTACGCGTGTAAAGCCTCTCTCTCAAATTATCGGTACTTGGAAGCGTTGAATGGTCCTCCACAGGGTATAACATTACACTTACGTTGATCTAAACTGTTATACACAATGCTTGTACGCTAATTACAATGATGGCGCGCCCAACAATGGGGGGGGGGAAGGGAGAAAATAAAAACAAAAGCAAACTCCCACCACTGCACGCGCCGTATATATATCTTGCTTACTCGTAATAGTTATTCTCGGAAACCGTCATTGTCCTCGTTTTTCATGATTTTTGTCGTAAAACATTGAATCTGACCCACTGCCATTACACGTACACGTATCAAAGAGTTGACTCAAGCGCACGAATCTATCTCGATTCCTCGTCACGTACACGGACTTTCGTCTACTCTAAGCAAACCCTCGCTCATATATATACATTTCTGAGCTGTCGCACTTATACATATATATATATATATACCTACGGTCCCAAAGTAAGTAACACTCGTCGTCCGAAAATGGCACCTGACTCATTCCAGGTATACACGTATACGCGAACGAGTGTTGTACGTTACACACCGCAAGCGATCAAGGACTCGGTCGATCTCCATCTTTCAAAATAGGTACCTACGCCACGAATCTCCTTGGACGCAAACGATACAACAGGAGCCAGCATATAGTGTAAATGATTGTCCTTGCGGTCTGTATTACGTACGATTTACGCCTGTAAATGGCCATCTAATGCAGAACATTGTATAACAAACGTTCACGTATGGGCATATTATATATATATATATATGTATATGTGTGTGTGTGTGTAGATACCTAATATATTCTAATGGGTACACCTACACATCCGATGCAAGTGACGTCAGGAGGGTACAAGTATAGGTATAGGTGTTGTATCCGCGACGGTGCGTCGCCTCTGTCGATCCGGTTTATGTTGGCTCTTTGTTAAAATTGAACTTCCATGGCTCTACAAGTGCGCGTGACTATTCCACGAGATCGCCTCCTCCTGTTATAAAATACCACAGCTTAAATGAGAGGCTCCCACGCCTTTTGGTCTTTCCGGACACTATTACCCACTACGTGTATATATATATATACACACCTTCGTCTTTCGAGCTGTTCGTAAGCTCATCTGTCGTTCGTATTGTGGCAAACGCAAAAAAAAATCGCGCTGGATGCCCGACACGCGGAGCTTGTTAAATGCGAGGATGACGGCGATGGTGTGAGAATCCGATGAGTAACTCGTCCTATCTTCGCCTAAAGGGAGAGAATTGAATTGAATTGAATTGAACTTATTATTAAGGAGCTAAGAGCAGAACGCTCTTCGTAGCTCGGCTCGTTACATATACTAGAGAGAGAGAGAGAGAGAAATAAAACACACAGTGGCTGCGCATTAGTATACGCATCTCCGCGCTCATTATGCTAATACACCGTACGTGTATTTATGTATGCCGATGTCTCGCTTTTGCGCAAGAGCTCCTCGACGACACTGTTCATTTTCTTTTTTTCGAACAAACACATGTAGTATATGTTGTATGCTTTTACCCAGGGATGTAATACGTAACTTTTAAGCTTTTGGGAGATGAGCAATATACCTATAATATGAGTTTCTTTTCTTTTTTGCTCATTTATTTTTCTACTCCGCGCGAATATTGGTTACTCGAAATATTTCATCCCCCTCCTCTCGAGGAAGAGCTCGCGTGGAAAAAAATGTGTTTTCGTGCCGCGTCGTGTTATTTTCAGAAACGATCGGAGCTCCCGTGAAAAACCGGTTACCCTTATGATGCACACACTTGTCAAAAAAGGAGAAGAAAAAAAACAACGCGCTAAAACCGATAAAATACGAGAATACGCCAGAGACGCGTATACGAATAATCCTCATTCGTTGCAATAGAGACGTGTGTATAATTATAACATAATTATGTGTATATTAATTATACCTGCGAGACACTTCTTGCAACGCGTGTACATGTATATGTAAAAATTCGTACAAATTCTCCTGGACGTAGTCCACGATTTTAATTAATTAGTCATTATACGTGAATATCATCCCACGTGTTTTTTGTACAGGTACGCGCTGATGATGCCACAAGTTATAGCTATGCTGCCTAAATCGCGCCCAATTAAAAAAGAGAAAACGAAACATCGCGAGAGCGTGATGCCCCATCGGATTGTTTACATGATTGGAAAGTGCAGACCTATGTATAATATATTCTACATATGATCGAGATTTGCATGTATTATTATTGCGTATATTTCCAATCGATCGCGTCCGATCGGCTGTAATCGTCAATTGACGTTAGCTTTACTACCATACGTGGGGAATCGGAGAGATCGGTAAAGGAGAGCAAAGACGTACACAGGGCTTTTGCAATGGTTCGACCGATCTCGGGAGAAAAGTCGTTTTGCTCAGTCGTGACGTGTACATATATATATATATATAGAGGAAGTCGAGTGATACCGGGACGCTGTAAGGGTGGATTGTATATATGTACGTGTTGGTGTGCATATCTGTAACGTGACCAATATAGGCTCGGTAATTATTTAACGATCCGCCTAATGGCCCACTACCGCACGATTATCGGTGTTTCGTCGAAATTTCTCGATTGAAATGAAACAAAAACGTGTCCGTTACGTGATCGCGTACAACCTAATGAAATTAGCTGGTGCCTTTGTTGTGTAATGTTTATTAAGTGTATATATCCATAGTAACACACTGTGATGACTGGCACGCTTTGCGCACCCGTGCGCATCCTTCCTCCGTCTACACGTGTTTATACGCCTCGTGCGCCCTTCGCACCTCACTGCTGGTACATGCGTATTATGTGTATTTACGTGTGCCCTAATTTCTTTTTTTTTTTTTTTTTTTCTTCCTAATTGTTATATTTGCTGCTGCTTCGGTGTAGCATCAATTCAACGCCAGCTAGAGAGAAAAACATCCACGGCACCGGTGATCGGGAAGGTTGAAAACAAAGTTGGATATTATAGTGTACAGCCCAGTTTGGGAGTTAGCGCGATGTAGAGCGCCTATATTACACCGGCATCGGACACCCGTCATTACACGGCTCGTTAATCGCGTATGGATTTTCCAAAAAAGAGTGGGGGGGGGGGAGAACAATAAAACGCGAATATGCTCCAGGGTGGGAGGAAGGGGCGTTTAAACGATGCAAAACGTCTTTGAGCGTGGTGTAGGGGGGGTTAAAAAGTGGGCCGCGAACTACACAACGCAACGGCTATAATATGTGCACGGCAACACGTGATTAGCGATGCGGAAGGCGAGTGTTTTTCAAAGGAGGAAGAAGACAGTTTTGTTACGAGAAAGAGAGAGAAGAAGAGGGTGAAAAAAAAAAAAAAAACAAAAGGCGAGATGGAAGTACCTCCGGGAGATAAGGCATTCTTGATGCTTTCCAGAGACTGCTGCTCCCAGTTGCAGGTACATAGGGTATATATACGTACATACCATCCGCGTAGGTATTTATCTCTCTCTCTTTCTACTAGGTTATACCGTTGAATGCAGGAGAAAGGCTCCCGCTGTTCCGATGCGGTGCATGTATACCTATATATATATATACGCGAGTCCTGCCCGCGAGAGAGGAGAAAGGGAGTGTACTTATACCGCAGGTACGAGGCGAACGAAAGGAGGAGACGATTGTTTGTGTGTGTCTGGTGTACATCGCACGTGGTGGCA